TGTGTGTGAAGTCTTCATTCTGGTTTGCGACTTTATGTTTTGTTGCTGCTTCAGGTAGCATGTTGAATTTATGGGAAAAAAAATGACCATTTTCACACTTGTTGTCGTTTAATACAGCATTCATTGTTCCAGTGTATCGTGGTAGTATCTGAGAGAATTTGGTCACTTCCACCTTTGTTCCTGAGAAGTGGGTTACTAAATAGATACACAAGTAAACGATTCCAGACAGAATAATGGTAGTAATGATAGAAATCATCTCGCACGCTACACTGCAGCCTATTAGCTCTCACAGTTTAAACTCTTAGTATTGTTTTATTTCAGTGTAACACTTTTCCTTCTACTTAATTGGTGTCAGTTGAAGAAAAGTCACCATTTTCCAAATGTTTACTCTCCAGAAGAAATACTTTACATGCAGTACACATGTAGGAGTTTTGTAATGGCTACGCCTTTATTTTTAGAGGTACTAGTTTACAGATTCAAACTGTGCTTGTGGGCGACTGCTCTTTTCACTACCCTGCTGCTCTACACCGAGTCAAAAGGGGATTCTCGAATAATTACTTTAATTAGACTCTTTATTTAATCCATAAATGCTCAGTGGGTCAGCAGTCTCAGAGCATTAATTTGGTCCTTCTCACTCACACACATAGAAAATAACCTAAAACTTGTTCTACAAGAAAGATTTGGACAACATACAAAGTTATTGTTCTTTAGAAAACAAAGAAACAATTATAACAGTCTCTTGCTATGTATTATATATGTTATTTTTGCTGTGGTCACAGTTTTCACTCATGCCAAAAATAAATTGGACACTTAGAAATTCCATACTGTACTTGTGCTTTTCAGTTGTATCCCCAGACACGGGTAGTAAACATTTCAGGTGAAGTGCAGGATTTGCAGGGGATTGATAGTCTAGTTAAATTTGTTTTAAAAATAAAAGCAAATTTGGCCTTACCTGTTGCATGTTCCCACATTGTCTTTGCCTTAAATTGCTCAATATTCCATTTCCACTTTGCTAACTTTCAAATTGTGTTTTCATCTACTACACGGCATTTATTTTGATGTATTTATTTCATGGACATGCAAAATGCATTTTACCGATAAACCCTTTTGTACAATAGTTGGAGTTTAGTAGATTACTCAAAGCACATTACTACTGAATCAACATGGGCCTCCAAATTTAAATTATATATATTCAATATACAGTATTTTACTAAGTCACATTTCCTTTGCTAAAAAGGCTAACTTTTTTGCATAATGAAATTCATAATATCACAATAACTTTGCTGGATAATTTGCTTGTCATCATAAGTTTTATAACTTTGTATTTTACAAATAAACATACAGAAAACCCCCTAAAAATAACTGTGTAATCAGGTTGGTTTCACATGTCCCCAGGAGGTAGGTGAATAAAAGCAGACATAAAAGTCTAGTGGTTGTTCCCAACCTTGATTACGTTTCTTCTATTGTGGAGTGCCAGTCTGGCTGTTGAGACAGAGATCAGACCTTTTTAGATGTAGGCTTCCTCAGTAGCAGGGTTCTGATTCTGGTTTTCTGTCTGCTGGTCTGGACCATTTTCCTGAGCCTTCACCAGTACCAAAGGCTTGATCATCATCCGCAGACGCTGAGAAGAAGATCAGTACCACAGTTAATATCGTGAGCTGAGAAGTCTGTGTTCAAATCCAAAGGCTGTAACAAACCACACGAGCTATGCAGCTGTGAGCTTAAGGGATAAATGACCTTAGGCTTTGAATGTAAACATTCTTCTACTGGATGCTTTCCAACCTGAGATAAAGTTATATGAATTAATATACCTTTAGAGAGTGAAACCTACTAATGACACCAACAAACTTCCATGGGCCAAACTTACTAAACTTACTAAATTTAAAAAAAAAATGCTCTCAGCTATGCAGCGTCAGAACAGGGCTTTGCAGTCAACATTTTTATGGAGTGTTTGTGAAACTAAGTGTTCGCCTGGGTGCAGAGCACTAATCAACTTGCTGATTGCTACAATTAGACAATCAGCCATCAGCTGTTACTGCAGGATCTGACGCCTGCACATCGCCTCTGATAGCCTCTGTTCCACTGTCTGCAATTATCGCCCATTTATTCTGTCAGTGGTGACTATAAAGCTATATCTGTCAGAGGAGACTAAGAGACTATCTGTAAGCCTGCTTATTCGGCTCACTGTGGATGACTGCAAATCAAGAAGTTGTTAATGTAAATGGTATACCAGAAAAGGTATTCTCTTACAGTGATTAGTAACATCAGGTCAATAAAAATGCAGCGTGGCACTGCCCTGCGTATAAACGTCATTTACCAAGGACTTCATGGCTGTTGTATGTCATTGTCACTGTTACAGCACACAGCTATCAGAAATTATTTAACAAAACTAATTAAAAATCTATTTCACTAATCCTTTTATCACTGCTCTACGCTTCATGACAATTTACTACTTTGCCCAGGATGCTAGTGTGTTCTACTTATTATAAAACCATTGAATTACAGTGGTGCTGCACAGTTTTAATGCATGGAGCAAAGTCACACTCGCTATGCTCATCCTTTTCCCTTTCAGTGTGGAGCATCTTTTGGCTTCTAAATTACAAAATTAATTACAAAACATAGCTGCAAGCGGCAACAAGGGGGCCAAGAAGTTCAGCAGGGTACAGTCACAATGTCAGTTTGATCTGATTATGTTAAAGGTGTAGCTGTTAGCACTGATTGAAAATAAAACCTCTTTTTACCATTTGCATGGCTTCTAGGGACTCAGAAAAAAGTGCATAGTGTGTACACCAAGACTGATGTTAATTTATGAAAGAGATGCTGTGCTACAGTATGATTTCCTTTTTTATATCAATTGCCTATAAGGGGCAAATGGATAGAAAAGTCAAAATCCATGTGATAACTTTAGAGAGGGTTGTTTTGAAGATCACCTCTGACAATATTTGTAGACATCAGAAAAAAATGTAGCCTGTATTTATTTTAAACCTTTCAATGAAATCACTCATGGTGGTTGCATCAATTAGGTTGAAAAGGAGACATATCCTGGCTTTGGGGCCTTCCAGAGACACCACACAAAAATTCTTGTTTATGTCCTATATCTCTCTCGTCCAACATCATACAAAAACAAAACACTACTAAAGCTATAGAACTGATCAGTTCTATAGCTTTACACTAGAAACTGCAAGTTTGTACCTTCTTATAGGCGTTGACATAGCTTTTAGCAATATTAATGGTCACACATGCAAATTCCCAGCAGATGCCAATTTTGTCTGAATGTCTTGTTCTTTTATTCACTGAAATGAGGCACTAGGAGACCTTCTTGGGCATAAGGAAAACTCAGCAGCAGTTCTGTGACAATCAACCCACTTGTCTGATGCTTTGTATTGTGTGAACTCCATTTGAGTCCTTGAGCCTAGTTTGTGCAGCCAGACCTGATGAATGGACGACAACAGAGCAAGCATAGGCTGAAATAGAAGCCCTCTGTACCTATTGGTTGACTCTGATTATGTTTTTCTGTTTTTACTATTATTGTACGACCGTCTACTGGTCAGATGCAGCCCGTTCTCACTCCCGAGGCGTAATATACTGACAATTTAATGTGATTGCTGCATTGCTGGCTGTGTTTCAAAAGTACATCCTATCTCTTTTACCTAATCACATTTCAGAATCAGAATTCATAAGGACTTAGGAAAGGAGAACAAGAATGCACTGAGAATAAACATCCTTATGCTAGAATATGTACTCATGAGATGTCCCAAAGTTATGGTGATATTAAGATTCTTTGGAATCCACGAGTAGCTAATTTGCCTCATTTGTGTTTTTTAAAAGTTATGTGCCTAAACATACCACTAAATCTGAACCATTGGTGGCCCTAGAGCACTCGTGGCAAAGCCATTAAACTCGGTAAAAAGAATCAGGGAACTGCCAGTGGACAAAGAAGAAGAAGGAGAATAGAAGACTGCTGGTGCCTGCACAGGTTCTCTGTTTGGCCCTTAATTATAATCCTTTCATAGTACTTTCAAAGCTGCCCATTATGAAAATAATAAAAAGTAAAGGTAATAAAGCTCATGGGTTAGTATATTCTGGTAAAGCGGGCTGCATTTGTGGTGACCTAAATATTTATCTAAACTTCTGTACATGGTGTAAATGGATCTTTCACTAAATCCTTTGGGCTTGTATTTTTCTTTATCTGCATATAGGATCGCCTTACATCCTGTATGAGCTAATATCAGTTTGGCTTGTGCAAAAAAATCATGCATAAGAAGTAATCCACTTGAAACACTCAGTGTGGCTTATTCAGCTGCAGAGTCCAGGGTAAAGCTACTAGATGTGTGAAAAGCTCAGAGGTGGGTATAGTGATGCATTATACGCTGGTTTATCTTTAGCTACTTGTCAGCCGTACACTCTTGGCATTTATACCATAGCTTTAAAAAGAATAACATCCCACTTCCTTTCTTAACAAGAAAAGGATATTAATTTTTGTAGTGTAAAGCAGGCAATTATAACAATTTGTGAAATACAATTAAAAAAGTCAAGCATTAATATATTTGTCTTACCTCTTTGTATGTGCCTTTGAGTGTGAGGAACATGTAGCCCATGTAGCCAGGGATGAGAATCATGGAGGAGAGGGCCATGCACCAGCCGACCCCCTGACCCCAGGCAGGGAACACATAGTCGCCCATAGTAAGAGGAACCATCTGTATTGCACTAAACAAGAAGACTCCCTGTACGCAAGAGGAACAAGAGAAAAGATCTAATTATGCTTACAAATATGCTACCAAACTGCATAATGTTTAAGCTAAGATAAGAGTTTTGCAAATTGTACTATTTCCTATATTGTCTTATACAGATGTGGTTGGGACACACTATTGGATGATGGTGCTTAAATGCAAGTTAACACAAGCATTAAATCAAGTGTCAGTGAAAAGAAATAGACTCCAGCCAGAGAGAGAAGCAATCATCAAACAATGGCACACTTTTTCTTAAATGTATGGTTCAAGTCATTTGCAATATACAGAGTGCCTTCAAATAAAATACTGACCACAGTGGAGTACTATTTTTCTTTTGTGTTATGTTTTTGCTTGCCGCACTTACAGCCACAACGAGTGGAGTAAAGACAACCCAGCAGGCCTTCCACCAGAGACATGGTCTGTAGCCAATCATTTCTTCAATGTTGTCATAGAATTTGTTCACACCTGGAACAAAAAAACCAAAAACATTATCAGTGCTGTTTTTATTATTATGTCACTGTGGATTTATATGTTTCCCATCTGAGTCTTAGATGTCAAAGCTTGGCATTGTAGCGACACCAAATTGGCAGCTAAAAGACAGAAAACACTTACTGTTCTAAGATGGAGAAAAAAAAAACTTTTTGTTTGGCTCACCATAGAACCATGAGATTGAGATACATTCGAAGAAGACCAAGAAGAGTAGGGACATCCCACTAGCTGAATAGTAATCAAACAGTTTAAACACGTACAGTCCACCCTGAAAACAGAGGCAAAGAACATGATGAGAAAGGAGAAGTAATGGAAAAAGCACTTACAGGCATGTGCGGGAGAGTATTAAACTAGTGCAGTGAAGTAACATCAAGAGTGAGAATAAATGGTTAAACATCCAGCTGATGAACTCAGAACTCTAAATGGATTCTTTGTGAAAAGCTGTGTTTCTCCTACTGTGCAGTGCACGCAGTACCAATATGGCTCAAATTTCTACAGTGCCAGCATTTAGTGCCTTGCAGCTATCAAGTCATTCTAGGGACCAGCTCAAGAGGACTTCTTGGAGTTTGTCCACTTCTACATTTTGAAGCTTGATATACTTCATACTGCCTGGAACAGCGATTAGGATAACTGCCATAAAATAACGTGCTGTGCATGTAGCATGATGGAAATCCAATGTGACTGGAATAGAGGAACAGCGCAGGCTCTTGAATTGTCATAGCTCAAGAGATGCAGAAGCTTTTATTGCATATTACTGACACGTTGGTTTGTTTTTTTCTTGCTTATCATTTTCTTTGTCTTGCATTTCAAACTGATGCAAATCTTTGAAGTGTTTTTAGCATAATGTTACCTGAGGGAAATGACTCAGAGTGTGTCAATTGAAGAAGCAGAGTTTGGAATTCCAATATATTCAAATAAACTTTGATAGCTAAATATTTATGTGCAAACAATAGTTTATAGAACTGTGTTAAGCCCTCAAATGTCATTTTATTACTCAAATCTGAAATCCAGCATAGTAGAAAAGACAAATGATTAAGTACAATGACATTTCTCTTCAACAGACTAAAACACCTATTTTAATTACAGTCATAATTGGGTTAAAACAGCTCTTGTAGATTAAAATGGGATTAAAATAGCGCACTGTGCATAAGCCCCAGGAAAATTTGTCTTATACACAGAGGTCATTCACTCATAAATGAGCTGTGACTAATACTGAAATGCTAAGACTTAAAATTATTGAGGAAATAATAAAATATACTAGCGATTTTGGAACAACTGAAGCTTTTGAATCACATTTGCAAAGTATGGCTGTCCTGAGAGTACAGAAATAGCAGCGAATGTGGGGTCAGGAGAAACAAAGGGCTGTTTTCCTTTGGGGGAGGATAAATGTGCCCCGAAAATGAAATCAGTAGACAGTCCGAGTGTAAAGGTGACATGCTAGAAGCTTATGAATTGTCTACAAAGGCTCATTCACTAAGGAGAATGAATGTGTCGAGAAAACTTTGGGATATTCGCCTCCCCGGACAGTCAGGTTACTTTAATAAATTGTTTGTGACCTTATGATGTGATTAACAAAGCGCTGGGGTTCCTCCTCCTTGAATATGCGCAGCAGTTTCAATGAATATTTAGAAATTGAAGAGAATGTGTACTAGACAGTGGTGCAGCATGAATGGCCATGGGGGGCGCTTTGTAGGACCGATTCTGGCCCACAACCCTTATGTTTGACATGCCTGCACATTCAGAGTTAGTGCACATTCATATTCACCTGTGTGATGTTGGACAGGCCAATGATGTAAGAAATAAGGCAGACGACTGCAATGAAGATCTCTCTACGCTTTCGAAGGACATGGGGGAATTCATCAACCAGGGCAGTGATGAAGCCTTCCACAGTGCAGAACTGGAGATATTGCAGAATCAGGTTGAAACTGTTACACAATACATTTCTGTCACAATAAAAACATTGCTATGGTTTAGTATCTGAGCAAAAGAGCAATGGTAAGTTTTTTGGCACATTAGTGCAGTATCAAACTGAAAACTTAGATCGTTTTTATTTGAAGGTTAGAAAAGTATTTTAGAAAGCATTTCATATTGGTAAAAGGAGACATTTTTTCTTGAAATATCTTTACCTGACTGTCAATTCCCAGCATCAAGAGCATGGAGAAAAACAACACTGCCCAGAGAGGGGAAATGGGGAGCTGGGTGACAGCCTCTGGATATGCCAAAAAAGCCAAGCCAGGTCCTGATAAAAGATAAATATCAGAGATAATGTGATTTGTATTTGACAGTGGGACACAAATAAAACATGTGGTATTTGGCTATGACGTAGTGGCTCCATAGTGTAATGGCTTTCACAATTGCCTAACAAGTGATAGGCTCCTGATTCCTGTCCTGGGAGATTACTCTATATGAGTCGCATCAGGCAGGGCATCAGATGTAGGGATCTTCCAAATCAAACATGGGGAGCTACCCACTGTGGTGACTCCTTGTGAATAAGGGAGCAGCTAAAAGTATCTGGTTTTGACTGAAGAAGTCAAAACAATAAATTTAAACTGGGCTCATATGACAGTACTGAAAGTGTAAAACTTGATAAAAGAAGAAACAAAACAAGAAGTTGATCTCGAAGTGTCATTGAGAGAAAAAAGTACACTGAATGTCAAAGCTGAGTATTTGTAAAGGACTGAGAGTACAGAGAGTTTTTGCAAAGTATTTCCCTTCTAATAATCCCAGCAATCTGGACCAACAGTGTAAAAAAATCATTTGTCCCTTCAAAATTATAGCAGCTGCAATGGCTGACTTTTTGCACCGTATTTGTAGTCATATTATCTCTTGCCTGTGTCTGTTATTACTATTGAGTTTCAACATTGATTGCAATTACCTGAGGCTGCCACATCAGCGATGGGTCTCTTTGTCACATTGGCCATAAATCCCACGATGGAGAAGATGACAAAGCCGGCGAACATACTGGTAAAGGAGTTGATGCAGCAGACAATGACAGAATCTCTGTAGGGGAGAGACAAAGCACGCTGCAGCCATTGTCACGCCTATATCAATTCCTTATCAACCCGTCACACATTGTGGCGAGGCTTGTGGGAGTGGAGTGGTGGGGGGTGGGGTGGAAAGGGAAAGGTGGAAAGCCATTTTGCATCTGGCAGTGGCACAACAGCTGAATACATTGATAATGTCCTGATTTTATAAAACGGCAGTGAGTTCTAGCAGTTTTACGACTAGAGAGACAAATGGGCAGATGGCCAGTGTTTATTTTATAAGGTGACAGCCTTTGACAGTCACCAAATGTGTGTACCTGAATCTAAAACACTATGTGGAGCCAAAATAATGAAACAACTGATATAACAGGGGGCTCAAATAGTCCCAAAATAGAACAAACTGCAGACACTATGCTGTCACGGAAACCAAAAATAATCCCAGGAAGAGACATCTGCACGGTCTCTGTATAAAAAATAAATAAATAAATGATATGAGTGAGTGGTGTTAGATGGTAATTTTTTAACAGGCATTTAATTCAAGCTGTAAATAAACAGAAACAGTATTTTATTCACCTACCTGTATACGTTGTTGGTGAAGGGATTATAGCTGCCGAGAGCAATCAGAGAGCCTAATCCTAGCCCGTAGGAAAAGAAGATCTGAGTGGCAGCATCGAGCCACACCTGACACACAGACAGAAAAGAGGTTCAAGTAAGTGTGCTTGTGCAAAAATTGCTGCTAAAAGAAGATTTTTGTTTGAAAAACCGGCCAGGATTATATTCATTTACTGATTATCAGGACTCTTTTCTCTGATGAAAGCATGTGCATAAATGCTAGAAAGAGGGAAACTGTTTGTTCTGCACTGTAACGCCTCAGCATTGTTTTGTCGTGCCTGATGCTATTTGATCAACTGTCAAATCACTGAATCGTGATCTGACCTCAGCTTCTCAGTCTTTACAGAAATAAACACATTATCTCATAATCAATACTGTAAAAGAAAGTATTTGTGAACTGTGCTAATAATGGTACTTGCAATGAACAATCATGGTTATAAACATCATTCACAGACATTCACGTTAAAGCTCTGCAATCACTGAAAATGTATCTGGAATCTTGTTGACTTATTAGTTCCCATCCATTCATGTAGGTACAGAGACCTACATAATGTTAAAAAAACAACAACCCTGAAACATCACCCCAAAAACCAAAACACATCAAGTTGGGGCTCATCTTATACTCTGCAGCAACCTTAATTTTGGTTGCTGCTGCAGAATATCTACATGTATTCGTGATCAGAAAGAGCAGCGAGCTCACCTCAGACTCCTTAAGCTTGTTGAAGTCTGGTGTGATATAGAAGAGGATTCCATCCATGGCACCGGGCAGAGAGACACCACGGCAAAACAGGATGAACAACATGAAGTAAGGGTACGTGGCAGAGAAGTACACCACCTACGGGGCACAAAATCGTGATTACTGCAAAATAATCTCTCTAAGCCATCTTTAAGATCTCCCGAGAATATTTGAGGCAAGAGCGCAGTTTGAAAACCGACAAGTTCTTAATCTCATCAACTTATTGTGTTACTGAGGCACCATCCACACAGAGCAGCTTAGTGCCCTAGTCAACCATCTCCCAGAGGCACAGTGACCCCAGAAAGACTGGGTTCAGCACACTCCCGGCGCACTATTTCCCTCCTTATCTGAACTAATTTCAGACTGTGCTGTCAAAGTCAACACTAATCATGCCAGCCAAGATAACATCTACTGCATAAAAATGAATCAGCAGAGGATCTTGTTGTGAAAGTTAGGAAATTGTTGAAACTCCTTTTGCCATACTGAAAAAAACAGACATCAAAATAAAGATCAAGCAACAGCAAATAGAAATCTCATACTTTAGCTCAGTGTACAGATGATGCAAACTCTGTCGGGCTGTTTGCCATTGTGCAAAATGTTGGTACTTATATAACACAACATACTTTATAATAAAATGATATTCCAAAGGGATAGCCTATGTGTCCATGTATAATCGTTTTGTATGATTTTTTAACTTTTTTGTGACAGTGTACCAGTGAAGCTCTTTTCCCACACTAACAGGAAATTACACAAAATTTCTAAAATAAGTGAGTAACTCCCTTTATTTCAACAATAATCTAAAGTTCTGCTGTTCCAGTTCTATATTTGGCTTTTTCATTGTTTATGCTGATGTCTGTACCTTCTTCTCCTACTTACTTTGCCAGTCCAGCTGACTCCCTTCCAGATACAGAAATAGACAAGGACCCATGCTATGGCGAGTGTGATAGCCAGTGGGATCCTGACCTCCCCAGGCTTCTCCAGGCCATCGGTCAGCTGATGCATGTTTCGTCTGGAGGGAAGTAAAGGGGTCTTACTACAATACACAAGGGCATCCTTGATGTCACATATGTAGCATGCATGGAAGCATACACAAATGTGCCTACATGCATCTGGATATTCACAAAGAGTCTTTTGATGGCTTTTTTCTCATCCTTAAAGCTTAAAGGTATGATAGCGAAAGGAAGTTGTGCTTCTGTGCACACGTTATTTTTCTCATCCATTATCCAGTTGTGCACAGATTTTCCTCCTCTGCTGATATTCTGGGTAGATTGCTATTAACGGATATGGCCACTGAGTCATCATATGCAAATGGCCATATCTAACTCTGACCCATGATGTAATGATCATGCACATAAGGGAACCTCTAACCTTACTGTGCAGTTAAAACCAATAATAACATTAACTGAAATGTCCAGCTTACTCCCAGAACTCTACAACGGCACTGGTGAGGTTTGAGGTGTCTGTGATGCTGTAGTTGGTGTAGCAGCGATCTGTGTTCCAGCTATTTCCACACGTCTGCCACGGCAAATCCTGAAATTTAAGGAAAACGCACACAAACAGACACACACAGGTTCTTTTATTTGGAGCACTCTCCCACTGCCTATTCTCTCTAGCTGTCAAGCTGCCAAGACCACGATACTCATTCGGGACACTGAGATTTCATGGTTTTCTCAGAGCAGTGAATGCTTCATCGCCAAATGCATTTATCAATACCTTGTGTAAGGCACTAATTATGTGGGAAAGGAAGTAATAAATGTCATACTCTGTTAAGGGCTGTGAGGCCTTATATAAGAGATACTGGCAAACAGCACCTGCCTCATGATTAAAGGGTTAGAAAGTAATAGTACTAACAATACAGACAGGGCTATATCTGGAAAATCTCGGCCCTTAAAGGTTCAGAATTAGTGCCCTGTTACTACATTTGCTAAGAAATGTAGGACTTTAAATATCAAATACTCACAGCACTGAAGGAGTTGTACAAATAGTAAATAGCCCAGGAAATGATAACAATGTAATAGATATTGAGCCAAAAGGACAGAACAGCAGCAGCCAGGCCAACACCTGAAACAATGGAAAATAAAGGTGTGATGTCAAATTGTGCTGAATAAAACAAAATGAGGAACACATGTAAGTCCACTTAGAATGCCTAAATAAAGTAGTTATTTAGAAAATTTAGTTTCAAGTCTTAACAATATATATATATATATAGATAATTTACCTTTGAACATTGGAGCCAGCTTCCACACTCCAAGACCTCCAATAGAAGTGTACTGACCAAGAGCCGTCTCCAGAAAGAACAGAGGCATACCAGCAAATATGAGGGTCAAAAAGTAGGGAATCAAGAAGGCCCCTGAATGAAAGGTGAGAAGTAAAGGTGTGTAAATGACGACAAAGGATATGTTAATAATTTTCAACATAATCCAATAAAACATATTAGGGGTGTTTTGTTTCTGCGCCCCAGATCACGTCACAGCTATTTGTCTGTGCGCAATTACGCACGGTTATACTGGACATGCAGTTTATATCTGTTATAAATAAAGAAGTCCTGGGCAAACTGTCAGGTTTTAATGTCGAGATCTTTGCGCTCCTTCTGGTGTGTGGATATCTGAAAATTGCCAAGAATTCCTCATTACCTCCACCGTTTTTTCCACATAAGTAAGGAAATCTCCAGACATTTCCGAGTCCGATTGCGTATCCGACACAAGAGAGGAGAAAGTCAAATTTCCCACCCCACGTTTCTCTTTCGGGTATCTCCTTTTTCGTCTTCTGCACTTTCACCACCAAGGTTTTGGGTTTGTCGTTTGGCGTGGTGGTGGGCGCGTCATTCACCGTCTCCGTTAAGACGTGTCCGTCCGAGGCTTTGGTCCCGTTGGTAGCCATGGTCGAGGTGTGCGTCGGACAGTCCTGACCAGTGGAGAAGAGGGGGTTTCAGCACTGGTCCAGATAGACAGCAGTTTATCCGTCCCGTACTTCCAGTTCCCAGATAACAGCCGAGAGGGGGAAAAAAAACGAAAACTGGGGTACAGCGAGTGATTTGGAGAAAAGGCGAGGCGAGGACCTTAGCAACAGTCCAGTGACCCTAAAAAACAAAAACAATAATATAGTTATAAATTTCACAGAAAAAGTGACATTCCTAAATTAGATATTGTTAGTTGCTTTGAATGCAAATATACTTATTCAAAATATATGCATAGAGCCTTAAAACGAATGTCCTAATAATAATGAGGGATTAATTTTGCGATAATTACTGTGGATGTTAACTCCTTGGGTGAAATAAAAAAAACCATTTAAAGAGGAATTAAATATTCCTAAAAAAAATTCTGTTAAATGACAGATTGAATTAAATTATATCTATTTAGCTCTCTCTCTTTAAACATGTATATATGTCGTGACATTTCTTAAGGGGTGACAAAAAAGTCTGTCCCGTGTTCTGTGAATCCCACGGGATCAAATAAAAGCTTCTCATGCAATATGAATCACTTTTAATTGCCTGGAGTGAATCCATGTTAGCAGAAATTTAGAGCCTGCTCTTGTCCTTGATTCATTATGCTCTAAATTCAATGGCCCACTTCTCACTGCTCCCTTACAAGAGAAAAGCAATTAAACACATTTAGAAATCAGACTCGATAGTGAATCACCTGGAGAGGCTAATAACTCACCAGAATTTGCAATTTGAATATAGATCTACATCAAATATCCATGGAATAGAGTTCTAATTTGCAATAGTTATTTTAGTTAATGCAAAAAAATCAGTAAATAAACGTAAAAGACCTACGTCATCTGTTTGTATTTTAAATAGCATTTTTAAATGCAAAATAAACGACCGTTAAAATGGTGAGCAGAGAGTGCGCTCTCTGTGCCCCCTTATTACCTTGTGCGTAATTGAGAGAAGCGGGGTACCGGGGTTGCATTTACAGATGGAAGCTAGAGTGTTATTTTTTCATATTTCAGTCTACTAATAAAAATACACCACTTCTATTCCAAGTTAATGTGACATTTTGCATCTAAGAGACATCGCGATAAGAACTGCTTGTGCATTTTCTGCGTATTTAAATTACACAATCTACAAAACACAGATTCAAATTTCACATACATGAAATGTGGCTGTAGAACAGAAAGATCAAAGAAGATGCTAATGGCTCCTGAAGAAAACTAAAAAAAAAAGAAGTAAAAAGTCTTCGTAGACCTCACGCGCAGCTGTATATCCTTACGCAAATTCAGCACATCTGCACACGGCAAATTCCTTGATGGTCCTCGCGTGTAACAAATGCATTTCTTTTCTCGAATTTATGTAAATTGCACCCCGTACAAGTGAATACTTACAATACAGTCCGCTACTTTGCAGATTCTTTCTCCGGGGGGAATATCCCGATTTTGGAAAAAAGTAACTTCCTTTCACTTGCACTGAGTCAAACCGCGGTGAAAACTTTGCATTCGGCGACAGCGAGCGAATATATGATCCGAAAGGGGAGAGGATAGTGGGCAAATGCGTCTTTGAGAGCGAGGTGCTGTCCTTAAAGGAGTGGTGCTGAAAGAGAGGAGGGGAGAGAAGACGGAGAAAAGGAGCTGCCGCCGTCTCAGTTGAAGCGAGCAGGGACGTAACATGGAGCGCAGGATCCTCACTTTCGTCTACATAGCGTCAATGTCACCTCAAAGTCGACCCTCCCCAACTCCAACATTTCCACCACTGAGATGGCAGCGGGTTTGAGAGAGGAGCATCCGCTTGTCTCAAGGTTTTATATCGTTACTCCTGCAGCTTTTTTTCTCCCGTTTTTTTTAAACATCAGCAACTTCTCTTTCTCTCTCTCTCTCTCTCTCTCCCACCTCCCCCTTCCCCCTCTCTCCCTTTGTGACTCACTCAAGGTCCAGATGATGAATAACACAGACTTAACACTTTTATGTAATCCTCTATTTTCCCAAAGTCATCCCTTGAATTAACTTGATTTCATCAAGTTGCCATTTAGAACACCGAAACGCATTAATAACGCACATGCACAACTATGAGAAACAAAATGTTCAAAAAGGCCACACTCGGGGTAAAAATAAGTGTAGTCTAATACTGCATCAAATGCAACTACTCCAAAGTAGAGGATACAGTGGAAGATGCCAATGGCTGCTTTAGCTGCTGGCAAAACATGATAAGAGGGTCCCAGCCAATAAAAGGAGTCAGGGTGTGTGAGATAAATTGAAAAATGTGCTTATAATCTTCTTAGCCCGCTGTCTTCCAAAATGAAATACCCTTGTGGAACATCTCAAACGAGCAGTCTTAATGCAGAGTTTAACTCCCACATTGAGATAAAATATGCGGCTCTCACTGGGAGATTAGACTTGCTCATGGTTTAATAGTTAAAGTTTGAGTTGTTAAAATGAGTAAGAACCAAACTGGTGTCAGATTAAAAAAGAGAGAGAGACCCTACACCTCCCTTTGTGATGATGTGAAACTGTTATTGAGATGACTTCTCCTCGCATATTTCCACACTGATGCATTGTCTTTACTGCTAGGTGACACTCTACCGTGCAATTTTAATAATAATGGATTGCATTTATATAGTGCTTTTCGAGACCCTCAAAGCACTTAACATTTCCACTATTCATTCACACACTGGTGGAGGCAAGCTACAGTTGTAGCCACAGCTGCCCTGGGGCAGACCGACAGAAGCAAGGATGCCATATCGCGCCATCAGCCCCTCTGGCCATCACCAGTAGGTGAAGTGTCTTGCCCAAGGACACAACAACCAAGACAGACAGAGCTGGGGATCGAACCGGCAACTTTCCGGTTACAAGATGAGCTTCCCAACCCCCTGAACCACGGTTGCCCCAATTTTGACGTTCTATGTAAATTTTGACATCAAAGCAGCTTCACTTTATTATCACAAGGTATCATATGCAATTTAATATACTTAAAGTCCTGGATAATATGTGTATATTTTCTGATATTAATATTGTTATTTCAGTCATATCAATGTGCCTAATTTCTTTTTACGTTATTTTCCCACACTTCTCTACTTTTCTCAATTTGCTCTTGCCTCCATGTTCATCTACCCAGATCTTTCGCCTCCATCTTCAGTTCTTTTTTATCTCTGCGCGCCATGCTGAAGGCTGTGCAGTGTTGATACGGTACTGAGAAGCCACAGCACTGAGGGAGAAAGGAAGAAAGAATGCCCAGATGGTGAACCAATGAGGGGTGAGCTAACCTTCTAATGATATGAAACAAAATGTAGCATTTCTTACCCCAGCTGGCTGATTGGCCTGCAGGCTGTGGCACCTCTGATGTGCCTCCTGTTGGCCTACAGCTCTTACACGCGGGGGGAATTCAAAATGCCACAATGATGAGAGCTGCTGGTGCCGTGCTTGTGGCCCTGGCCCCACCTGATGGTGCGCTTGTGTGCACTGGAGCTTGTAATTACAGAAGGAGGTGGTGGTAATAAAGAGCAGAGTACAGGCAGACACACGGGCAGACAGCTGGCCTCCTGTCAGTTTCGCTGCTGAGACGCTGGGGACAAAAGCAATGCTCTGAAACTGTACAGTCGATTATCTCTCATGCGGGACAGACAAAATGGCGATGCAGATGATGACTGCGATAATGATGACAGATGCATTTTTAAATTCAGGCATATTTACAGAGCCATGTAGAAATATGCCACGGGTCAATTTCAGTACTTCTTCGATGCTTTGATGCCTGGTTTGGTGAAGCCCTTTTTCCCTCAGCGTCCTTGTCGTAGTAGTAACATCCCTCTATAGTTGTTATAAAAATGCCCCTGAAGCCATACATTTTTTAACTTGTTGAAGAATAGAAGTTTCTTAATCTGGAATGACTACATGCAGATTATTATCACAATACGAGACGTACAGCCACAGAAATGACAGCTCATTGACATTAAATGCAAAGATGTTGATTTTCAGCAAGCATTAATGTTACTGTGCTCAGGGATTTATTCGTGTATGTCAACACGGTAAAAAATTTAAGGCTGTTATCAGTGATATTAATGTTGGTGTAGCACTTATAAAGTAATGTAATGCACAGATTAGAATACTGACCTGATTATTCAAGTATACCAAGGCCACATCAACACATTTTAGTCCTAACTTTAAATATAAACCTCATGATGGTGTTAGAAGAAAAGTCAAGAGTTCATCATAATTCTCCAAATGGTGGATTAACCTACCAGCATTTATATACAGTACAGCGGGTGTGGTTAAAATTAAATCACACCTGATGGCAGAGCTTTATCTTTAGGCAAACTTAAGTGGATACAGTAAAAAGAATGCTATCTATATATTATTATGCTAAACATATTTTTATCTTCGTAAATACAGCCACATGTTTTTTTTTCCACTGGCAAAATAGGTCTATAAAAACTCTGTGCTTCTTGCATTAATTGTTAGTGCACTTTCCACCCCAAAGATTTCAGTGCTTTTAGGAACTCAAATACCCGCTAAGCTAACACTTAAAAAACAAACACTATTGTTTGTTGGCTCTGCACTCGAGAGCTTATGGAAAGCAAATGCAAACTGCAGTTTTCCATGTGTCTTAATCCTAAAAAGCCTTGGCTCTTTCTGGGTGCTGCAGAGGGAGGGACTTTTGTCAGGACCAGTTATGTGTAACACACAGCAACCCCACAGAATGGGTTTTGGCTCTTCATTGGTAAGACAGTCAGGTAGGATTCTGCTTGGCCTCTCCAGAAGAGCCTCGGCGCAATGGTTTCCGCTTGCACTGAAAAGATGGTGACAAAGTGATGTGTCTGTTGCTGGGTGATTCACAAAAGGAATCCAGGGTGCATTTCTACAAAAAGGGAGGGTGGAAACACAGCGACAAAGTAAAACAAATATTGGCTTCCCTCCCTGTCTCTCTCCCTCTCTCTCTCTTCTCATCGCCAGGGTGTAACATAGAAGTCGATGTGAGAGTTTGCTGCAAAAAATAGGTTTTGTATTTTCCACACCTATTTTTTGCAGCAAAGTCAATTTATGCTCCAGTGAGGCAACATCTTTAAGAACAGCACAGGTGACCAAAATGCACAGGTGAAGAGTAAAAATTCTCACTTAAGCTAAATATTTTTCCACTAATGGTAAATTGACTTTTCTACTTTAACTGAGCACGCAAATTCACACATACATTCACACGTAGGCTTTTTAAGCCTTTTTTAATTTTAAAGCACCTTTTGCCAGCTGTCAAACACAGATGGATTTGCCCAACATTTTGCAAAAGGACAAGGACTTGCATCAAACTATTCACCTTTTTATTATCAAACAATCTTCTCTAACTTCTGAGTTGCAGGCAGAAAGATGGATGATATTGAACTAGATAGGTGGTAATTTTATACATGTACATATATCTCTCAAACCCAGGAGGCTATAGAAGCATGGTCTAAATTGATTATTGTTACAGACCTTTCATGGTCCAACTGTCAGTCAAATAGGTGCTTTGCTATTGATGTGTGGAGATGGAGAGGAGTGATGCGTTTTCTGTAAATGGGGCATTAAATTGTTTCAACCCGTGTCATGGTTTATTACAACACTGGTGATACATGTCGAGAAAGGTAAGAGAGGTCCAGGTGATGAATATACAACGTGTCATTCTGTGTGCATGAGGTAAAAGGTCAATTAAGAAAGAAACATCTGTGTTGCATGTCTGATGCAATAAGGCACGCTAAACACAGTGTATCATTGTGTGCAAACATGAGAAAGATTTCTCAGCAAAGCACCAGTGAAAGGGAATGCTCTCCTTAAAGGTGTAGATACAAACCTACACCTTAAAGGTTATATATATAAATAAAATTGAAGCCAACACGCTGTTTGATTTCTCATTTCCATACAGGACTGGGATGTCATCTATATGATTTCTGTTATTTGCTTTTGCAAATTTAGTGATTTTCCTTATTTGGAAATCCACATGCCCCATATTTAATATGTATTGTATACATATTTATCTTATATGTATAGATTGTTAAAAACTGGAAAAAGAACAAACAGCTTCACCCACTTCCAAGGTGTTAAGGAACACTTGTGGCAGGAAGATTTGATTTATTATTTACCCGTGTGTTTCGGTCTGTGGCTTTCATAAGGGTCATGAAGAATGAAGGTACATATTTGAGGGGAAAAAATAATAGGAAAATTTTATATCAACCATATGCATCTGTTGCATCCCTGAATAACTTTTAACTTGAGTTATATATTTAATGACAGAGACAGAAACAGCGCTGCCCCTACAGGCAACAAAATATATTAAAATAAGATTACCGAAAACTAGCAATGTCACCCAAATAAAGTAAGTTAGTCAAACTAAATGATAACATATAGAGTGACAATTTACCTCATGCATTTGTCCATTACACATTCAGTATTCACAAAGTCAGCACTCAGAGAAAAAAGAGAAAAGAACACTCAGTTGTCATTCAGTATATTTATCCACCAGTGGAGGATCAGTAAGGATGGACTAGGTTATATGAGGCTAACTGGGGAGTGACCAATATCAGGAAACATAAAAGATCCACTGTGATAACTTTAAGGAGAAAAACATTAGAAAGTTACAGTGCATAAAATCTTACTGCTAGATATTGAAAGATTAAAGTGCATAATCATAGCTATAGTGCTGTAGGAAAGAAAAACAACTCTGGCCACCTTTCATAGTGATGATAGCGTGATCATAGAAAAATGGCTACCCACTGTCGGTATGTGTCCACATCTATTTACTGTGGAGGAGGCTGTAAAACCTTATGAAAGGAGTCCGCTAGGAGTCACTGAGTCAGTGAAGATCAGAGCTACCAGTGGAGAGGT